TTTAAAATAAAAAAATAAATAAAAATAACATCACTTAAGCTTTACATTTTATTGAGTGTGATTCAAATTAAGAGCTTTTTTTTTTCCTCATGTTAGAAGGAGGAGATTCCAACCCAATATTCCCCCACCCACCCCCAAAAGAAAAAAAATAAATAAATTTAAGTATGACATTTAACATTTTTTTTCCCTAATAAAACCTTGGTCCTGGCCTCTTTATTTTCTTATTTTTTGAGGCCCATTGTAAGAGGTCCTGTGTACAACTATAAGCCCATATGGTTCCTCCACAGCCAAGGATGAGCCGAGTCCACCTTAACCTCTTTTTTGCTTTCCTTTCCTTCTGTTTTGATTATTTCCCAGCCTTTCTGCTCGTATAAACAAAACAAATTTATCATATTATTAAGAAATTAATACCAAGAAGCATGAGTTTTGTTACTTGTTTTTATAAGAAATTAAAAAAACTTTCCATGGCAGCTTAGTTTCACCTTTCTGTTTCATGTATGAATTCCTATTTCCTTGTAACCAATTCAGGGGTTTTTGTGGTTGTTCCTTGGACGACATCAACGTTTGATATTGTCATTATATCCGCGTGCAAAGAAGTTCGAGGGCATGCTGGAATTTTTCATGAAGTGCGACCTTAATTATAAGAGTTTGAAAAAAAAAAAAAAAGCTTCATAATGCACTACTCTTGATCTTAGCCAAAAGGGCTGAGAAGGGTTCATAATGCATTACTCGACGATCATCAATTCAACTATAACAAACCATGAGTTAGTAATTGATTTTGTAACATCTTTTACTTGACTTATAACTCATGGTTTAACTCTAATTGATGGCTGAAGTAATTAAATCTCATTTATTTCAAGTCTATATATATTCCTTCGTTTTTTTTTTATTTATTTAATAGACTAACAATTGGTTGAAAATTTCATGAAAAGACAAATATAGAGAAAAAATGTGAGTTCAAACTTTAGTCATATGAGTGAAGGAAACACATTTTTACTAATAATTTAGTTAATTATCTTACAGACTTTATTAATCAATTTTTCCACAAAATATTACAGTATTACCATCAATACTCTTATAAAAATAAATAAATAAATTCCACAGCACAAAAAGTCAGGGTCAAGAGAAAGAACTGTCTATTAAGTATAGTTTCTTCTTCAGTCAATACAGATATGTTCTCAATTACAATCTCTGGTGAAGTTTTTGAAACCCTAGAACTTAGTGAATAGTGATATCCATCAACCTTAGTAAAGGGTATAATTTTTTCCTTATCAATTGGACTTTCTTACCTTGGCAGGTTTTGCTAACGTCAATTTCTCCTATACATGATTGAAATCCCCATGTTTTGTTCACCTCATTATTGGCGACTTTTGAAACTTTTTCTTTGTAGATGTCAAATAATACAGCTTTTTTTTTATTTTAATTGGAATAATGCGGCCTTCTAGTACGTAGTTGCATCATGGGATAAACGGAATTGATTTACACATTAAAATTTTTAATACTAACATAGTTTATATTAAATAA